CTCAGTTGGGGGCGTGCAGGAGGCAGCTGATCCATGATTCTCTCTCATCATTGATGTTTTTATCTCTCCCTTTCCCTCTCTGAAATCAATAAAAATATATTTAAAAAAATGTTTTTAACCAATATATGTAACCTTTTTCCACTTATGAAAAAACAAGTGTAAAAAAATTACCATACCTCTTTAACCAGTTGATGCCCAAAATGACAAGCCAGTTTGGTTTGGCTCTTCTGAATTTTGGTTTCAAGATATCATCATAGGAAATGCACACATTTCTTTTATAGTCCCTGCATGACCGGGATAACCTCCTGGAAAACACAGTAGAGCTTTAGGCATGCCCAGCTTACCATTAGTAGGACTCATAATTTCTTTGTCTGTTATGCAGCCTGTTTGTATGTTCAACATGGAAGCTGTGATTATTATAAAGTCACTATAAGGAAGTTACCTATGGTATAAAAAGTCTTAACTTTCTTAGTAACACTGACATTTCATCATTCCTTTGATTACAATAACTTTTTCATCGAAATTAAGGATGAATAATAAGTAGTTTATCTTTCAGAACCTTAAATGAATTATTTTTACATTCAGATTGTTAACTAATGTGAATTTTCATATTTCGTGGTGCTTTACTTCCTACATTTAAAATAGAATTGGTTGCAGAGTAATATAAGTCTGAGCCCTCTTTTGTACATATTAAATTATACACATCATTTAGCTAAGCGTAAATGATATGGTGAGTGCTTTCTGAGTGAATGATTTCCATTACTTGTCAGATGCAGCCATTAGATGATTCTAAAAATACTCATCATGCTCTCAGTTGCGTTTTTCCTGTATTGGCTGTTGGGTACCAAGTTATCATCAACAGTGACGTCCTTGGGGCATCATGGTACATTGTATCAAATGCTTTAAATATCATTGGTGATTTTCCCTAAACTGTGACTGAAACTAGGCCAAAAAGAAATAAAACTTCAGTCATTTCTAATGATTAATTAAGAAAGTCTCAAAAAGCATTTTTTTAACGTTTCTTACCACTAGTTTATTGTTTCAAAGTCTGATATCCTGTATTTAACTTCCAATTTTCTCTTTTAATGGTATGTTGTGTAATTGATATGTCAGTTATACTGGGTACAATTATAAGTGGGAAAATCATATTTTGTCCATGTTAGCTCCAAGGCAAAATAATTTTCAAACAGAATACCAGGCATTCATTCAAGCAAGCATCTTCGGAATTCCAGGATGGAAGCACCCTTAGCATGGTTTCATTGCGAATACCCTACATATTGTTTCTCTACATTTGAAATAACCCTGACTCTCTTAGCCTTTGCATAAGTCAAATTTACCTACATTAACCATTTTTTGTGTGATTTTCTCTGAGTTCTTCTAACATGTACCTCAATCGATCTTTAAATGACAAGATACCTTGAAAAGGGTCTGGCCAATGAAGAAGGGAAGCAGGGAATAATTTTGGGGCTCAAAACCTGCCATCACTCAGCTTTTGAGTTTTAAAATATAACCTTGAGGGTGATGTCTTTGGGGCTATTTTGGCAACCCAATGATCTATTCAGAAAATAGGAGACTTCTTACCCTTATTCTAAATTACATCCAATTTTGATGTACTCATTTATATTCTTAGAATGCCAATCCTTTCTTTTATTATGAAAGAGAAATACCACCTGCTACAGCTGGATGGTGAGACTAATTCAGATAGATTTTACTAGAAAAGAAATATATTGACATGGGACAATGAGCCTGAAAATAAAACATAATATATTGCCAAACAAAAAACTCCCTGGAGAATAAAGAGCATATTAATATTATACACGAGATAAAGCAGATTATCTATTTCTGTATACTTTATTATTGAAGATGTTTTCTGATAAGTGCTTATAATTTCAGTGCCTCCTAGGACTCATGCCTCATTGAACAGCTCTCTCTGTAAATTGAGTTAAATAATTAATTCCATTGTACTTTCTAGTAAAAATGAACATCTTAAGGTTCATGTTGGGAGTATCAGTGAACAATTCTTGCAAAACAGTTGGTACCTTTTTGCTAAAATTAAATTAATTCAGCCTATAGGTTAGGTAGGAGATGAATGCTTCCCTTATTTCTTACTTTAAAAAATAATGATACAAAATTCAAATGGAGATTATAGTGGCTAGTCGGTGCTGCTGGCATTGGTATCTGAAGGTTCTTCATTTTCTGCTAAGTTACCACTTGTCTTCTGTCTGGCCTAAGGCTCTGATCCCTCTGCCTCCCACATTTCCTACCATCCCGCAACACACACACACGCATACACACACACACACACACACACACACACACACACACACTGCCATTTACTATTATATTTCACTTGTATAAGCACTTTCACAAAGTCACTTATTTAGTCCATATAACACTTGGAGGTAGGTACTGTTATCCTCATTTTACAGTTGAGGAACATGAAGGGAAGCCACATGGCTGAAAAATGGCAGAGCCTGGAGTTCAACTCATGTATTCTGACTGCTCCTCAGCATAATGGTCTGCTGTGGCATTCTGTTCACCAAACCAAAAGGAACCCACTCACCTTCATTCTTATTGAACCTTAAATGCATAGAATTTGATATTGTCAACAATCCTCCTTTGCATTTGTGACAGTTATTTATGGAGCACTTCTTCAGGTCAAGCACTGTTCTAGGCACTGGAAATATTTCAGTGACAAAAAAAAATCATACAAAAATCCTTTTTCTTTGTGGAGCTTGCATTCTCATGGGGAGGGATACATAATGACAGACAATGGAAAAATAAGCATAATAAAGTCAATTACATAGTATGGTATGTAATGGTAACACAGGTGGTAAATGCTGTGGGAAAATATACATGAATCTATAGAAAGAGAGACTGGTAGAGAGGATTTGGAAGTACCTCTTGGGGCGGGAGTACAGAATAAATGGATGGTCAGCTGAGGCTCTTCTAAGCAAGGAATGAAAGGAATTTGGAGAGGGGCCACGAGGATATCTGGGAGAAGAACATTTCAGGAAGAGCGAACAGGAAGAATAGGCATGTTCATGGAAGAGCGAGGAGGCCAGGGAGGCTGGGGAGGCACAAGGAGAGCAGCCGGAGACCAGGCCTGAAAGGTTCAGAGTCGGCACAGCAGAACCTCGTGGGCTGTCCTGGGAATTTGACTCTTTGAGAGAACAAGGGACTCTTTGGAGAATTATCAAAATAGTTGGTTATTAAATACTTCTCATGGTACAATCACAACCCTATTAAAATAATAAGTACTTTGTTTTGCAGAGAAAAATAAAATACATGATATAATTATAGTAGCCATTTTGGGTGATTTAATCATAACATTTTTGTGTGTTTTTTATATCTATTTAAAAATTTTAAATTAATTTTTGTGAGTAAATATGTATTCTAAGTATGTTTTGTAGTAAGATTTGTATAAATCATATATATTGAAAACAATATATATGTATAGAAAGGCTTGAAGGATATACACACCAGTGTTAATAATATAACTGTATATATAAAAACCTAAAGCGACCAGCTGATAGGCCGACTGGCCAGTAGCTATGACGCACGATGACCACCAGCTCAATGCTGGAGCTGTTGAGTGACAGAAACTTTGCCGAGTGCCCTCTCACACTTCAGGACCCCTCAGGGGATGACGGACTGCCAATTTTGGCCCTATCCCCATAGGCCAGGCCGAGGGACCCCACCTGTCCGAGGGACCCTGTTCACTCTGCAGAGACTGTTCTGTGCAGCCTGCTGGGGAGGGACTTTGGGAGGTTGACTCCAGGGCGTATCCAGCCCATCTCACCCAGTCCCGCCCTACCAGCCACCTTCTAATTAATTTCCTTTCAATGGGCATGAATCTGTGCACCGGGTCTCTAGTTTTATATAAATATGCTTGTGAATGATTTTTCTTTCTTTCTTTCTAGTTTCTTCATATTTTCTATTTTTTAACCCTTCACAAATACTGCCAAGGTAATATTTCTAAAATTATAAGTGAAAAGGAAAAGTTCATACATTATCAGCCAGTAAATGTGCCCTGTATAGTGTTGTACCTTCTGAGATTGGGTGTTTTGGACTGAGATTGGGTGCAGGACCATTTGTATAGTAAGGGGAAACTACAGAGGTATCAAGGGCACCACACTGTAATTTTTCACCAGCTCTCTTTCTGCTATGAAAGCCACTGAGAATAAGGAGTGGCAAGTAGAGAAGAACTTGGAAGTGCCTTAAACCATTTTTGATATGATATGATATATATATATATATATATATATATATATATATATATATATATACCCAGTGACAGAATGGTGGAACAACCAGAACTTCTAATCAACCAGTCGACCAGTCACTATAACGTGCACTGACCACCAGGGGCAGACGCTCAATGCAGGAGCTGTCCCCCAGTGGTTAGTGTGCTCCCACAGTGATAGCTCTGCTTTGCTGACCAGGATGAGTGGCTGCTCCCGTAGTAGGAGCAGGCGATTGGCTGACTTGGATGAGTGACTGCTCCCACAGTGGGCTGATCCCCACAGGCCACACCCACCAGTGCACAAATCCATGCACCAGGGCCTCTAGTTCTTATATAAGGAATTGAAAAAGTGCATCCATCTTATTAATACTGTTATACACTATGAAATGTTATGAACCATATCACTTTTCAAAATTCATTTCTTCATTGTTGTTGTGGATAATTACTCTTCTTTATATCTCAAATTTCAACTTGATATACTTTATTATTTCTGAAGCTTAAAATATGTGAAGTTTTGAATGTTGCCAGATATAGACATAATATTACTTAATGACTTTTTAATACAGCTCATCCTAGGCAAGGAGACTTTAAAAACAACTTTCCAACAATTTTGTGATATCCATTTTTAAATTCTTAAAGCTAGTACTGTGTACCAAAATGTAATGTCAGATTCTAAAATGGTGATATAAATATATTTGCACTGGCTACCTAAATGAAATGATTGATTGACATGATTTTGTTTTGTCATTTCTAGGGAGTGAAAAAAATAGACCCTAAATTCTATGAAAAATTCATCAGTCACAGATTTGGAGATGAAATGCTACACCGCATTGATCTTTGCTCCATGATGAAGGAAAAGCAAAGTAATGGTTATTATCACTGTGAGTCTTCAATTGTGATTGGTGAGTGCCTTTTGAAAAGTTTTTATTTAATTTTCATTTCTTTAGTATTTTTACTTTTGATTTCTTTAGACTTATTTTGTCAAATATTTAGGACTATTGTATATGTTTTTCTCAAGGAAACATTTTTCTAAATATGTGGTTGGGGAATACTACATTGAAAATTGTGTAGAACATATTTGGTATTCATATGTATCAGTCAAGATTTTAGTACATATAGTTTTTCTCCTTTTGTGGCTTAAATATAATTATAATGCATTCTTAAAATGTTGATTTAAGGTACACTTCAGTTTAATTTTATTTCATGAATATGAAGAAAGCATTTTCTCCAGTGAAGGCCTACATGACCACACCATTCTACACCAAGCATTTTCATGTTTGCTGCTTTTAATTAGGAATAGAATGTCCCAGCACATAAAGGTTCACTCTGGAAAGCCTTTGTAGGTGGCCTGCAAAGACTGAAAATTCATCCTTTGATTTCTTCCCTAAAGGAAACATGTTTTGAGGGAAAACAAATACTCATACATAAATGCTCTAGCATCTCTCAGGAAGAAGGCATGTGATGAGATAGGCTCATACATACTCATGTTTTCGAGTGGAAAGTGTGCACAACAAAGTGAGATTCTGAGAGAACTGGAATAAGTCTTCCCCCACTGTCTGCAATGTGAGTGTATTTCAAAGGAGACTGATCTGTTGTGATTCAAATTTACTACTTCAAACCAGGCACTATTCTTATAAAATCCTGGATGTCAAGACACCTCACATGAGAATACTCAAAGAAGATACATGATTCTAAATATTTCAAGGTCTTCAACCAAGATAATTTCTCTACACTTCAGCTTGAGAAACACACACACACACACACACACAAGCACACACAAACCCCCCCCCCAAAAAACTATGGAAAGATATGCCCTGAAAGGATCTTAATACTGCAACTTATTAAAGCACTTTAAAAATGTTCAAGAGACACAATTGTATTTCTGAATTCTCACTAGAAATCTTCAAAGAAGTCATCATTTTACTTCCAAAAATTTTAGATACCCAGCATGCCATTTGAATTTTATGCTCTAAAATATTTCACATCGACTGTAAGGATTTTTTTTTTCAGAATTTCTTTCATGTTTTCAGAGTTGTCTTCCTGAAGTTCTGATGAGAACCAAACCTTTCTGTTTAGGTTCACTGTAAAAGGCAAATTCAAGTCCTTCTTATAGAATACAGATTTTGGCTAGTTTTCCACGTCTTCTCTGTAATTACTTTAGGCCAGCCTTTAAAGAGAACTATACACTTCATGGCCCCTTCTGTTCCCACTTTCATTTAAAAAACAAACAAAAAAAACACGCAATATGTGGATTTTACAGAAGATATCGTGGGGCTGCATTACACAGTTTATTGCATGCTTCACCTGTGTTGCCAATTAGACAGCTCTTCTCAGTTCACCCCAAATCACTTTGTGTAGCCACGGAATTTTCCTTTGCTTGCTCTTATCTAGCACAGTTTCTAAAATCCCCCCTATTATAGACAATTTCTGTAGATTATTTTTCCCTTAGGCTTCTTTATATCTCACCCTTTTCTAATTCAAAGCAATTTAGCTTACTTCAAACTCTACCAATTTTGCATCCCAATACTGATTATTTAAGATTATTTTAAAATGTTTTTTTCCCATTGCAAAGATTCTTTTTTCAGTCACATTTAACAATAATATCTACATCGCCCTAGCTGATTTGGCTCAGGTGATAGAGCATTGACCTGTGAACTGAAGGGTCCCGGTTTGATTCCATTCAAGGGCATATGCCCAGGTTGTGGCCTAGATCCCCAGTAGGGGGCGTGCAGGAGGCAGCTGATCAGTGATTCTCATCATTGATGTCTTTCTCTCCCTCCCCCTTCCTCTCTGAAATCAATAAAAATATATTTAAAAAAAATAAAATTAATATCTGTACCTAAAATGATAATTATTATTTTTTCATTTGTGCTTTTAATCTACATTATGATTATTAATGTAAGTGCCTAGCAAACTCCCCTAGCACTCCACATGCTCAGTACAGATGATTAACACAGAAAACCAAGTACTAAAAGTGGGTGTGGAATAGGGATTTAGTTTTAGGAATACATTTTTATAATTTTTTTTATACCCTCCAACCTTAGTCTGTCTTCCAAAGATGACAAATTAGCAGCCTTTCATGTTGTACTTGATTGGAACAGGATTGTTGTTCTTATTTGCCTGTTTGTTTTCTTCTCTTTAATTTGAATAACTTGCCAATAATTAGTGACTTCACGTAAAAAATCTGGGTCTCTGCCATGTTCTGAATAATTTGGTCCCACATTCTTGCATGGCAGGGATTTCCTGGATGCAGTAGTGGACACATTGACCTTGAAAGTAGCTGCCTTTTTTTTTTTTTTTTTTTTTTTTTTTTTTTTTTTTTTTTAGCAATCTTTATTGTTCATATTATTACAAAGGTTCCTCATTTCTTCCCCCCTCCACCAGGTTCCCACCCCACCCTCCGTCCCCCCCCATCCCCCATTGTCCTCATCCATAGGTGCAGTTTATGTTCAGTCTCTTCTTCCCTCAATTTCCCCAATAGTAAATCCCTTTTCAGATAGTAAATCAGTTACTTAGCATTTTCTCATATCAATAATACCTCCACATGCCCAATGATACACTTCACACAAAAGACATTTCCCACTAGGTCAACCAGCCTCATCCAGGCCCCACCCAAGGCACTCACAGATCAACACCCCAATCCTAAACTAACTCAACACATCCAGATCTAAGCCTTCATCACTTGATTCAGCAGACACTCAAGTTCCCACGAAAGTTTCCATCCATGTCTGAGAAGCAGCCGTGGGGCAGGGGCAGGCAAGGAGCGAGCTGTTCTGGGGCTGGCTGCTCAGGGCCTGGCCTCTGTTGCTCTGGTTCATTCCACAACCAGCTGCTCCGGGTCTGGTCACTGCCACTCCCAACCTAGTTGCTCTGGACTTGGCTGCTGCTGCTCCGGGCCTGGCCGCTCCCAGCCTGGCAGCCGCTGCTCCGGGCCTGGCCGCACCCGACCCGGCTGCTCCCCCGGGCCTGGCCGCTCCCAGCCTGGCAGCCGCTGCTCCGGGCCTGGCCGCACCCGACCCGCCTGCTCCCCCGGGCCTGGCCGCTCCCAGCCTGGCAGCCGCTGCTCCGGGCCTGGCCGCACCCGACCCGCCTGCTCCCCCGAGCCTGGCCGCTCCCAGCCTGGCAGCCGCTGCTCCGGGCCTGGCCGCACCCGACCCGCCTGCTCCCCCGGGCCTGGCCGCTCCCAGCCTGGCAGCCGCTGGAAAGTAGCTGCCTTTTATTATCCCCCCTAACTCTACTGATTTTCTTATAAAGTTTGCTTAACTGTTCACACTACCTGCTTGGCTTCTGAAGGCACTAGAGTTTGGACCCCCTGCCAGCTGTTGCTGGTCCCTGTGTCTACTTTACATTTCCAAGCTGGGCATTATCTCCATCTTCTGCCATCTGTACCTGTATGTGGAGTGTTAGGGGAGATTGCTAGGATGTGAAAGTAATATTCATATTTTCAGATATAAGGAATAGTACTACATTTTTGTTCTCTCATAATCAAAACTTTAGGTGACATTAGGCTTACTTAGCATCGGGCTAGAACTCTTTACAAACCTAACTGCACTAGCCAGTTATAATTCAATCCTCCATCCACCCACTTCCCTAAAAGGGAAGAAAACCAAGAATAAAATACAGTTCAGATCTCCTAGGATGATGAAAGCTGTTCTCTGTGAGCTACTTACTGGAGCTGGGTGAATTAATTTTTCTCAGGCAGCTATGTTCTACTTATATTTCCTTAGGGAAGGTCATTGACTAAATGACATCCTTTGCAAGACTGATGAGCAATTTAGTGCTTGCAAAGACTAGTTTACTTTCAGCTATCAGACATATAGAAAGCAGTAGGGAATTTGGAAAGGTCTAGAAGGTATTTCTTTTGCAAGCTAGTGTGTTTCTTGATAATTTCTGCAAGCAGAGGTGGAACAATGATTTTCTGGGAATGCCAACCATTTTTTGTTTAATAATAATTCATCATTAATTTAATATTATTTAACATATACAATGTGTATACCCCTCTCTTGGATATCACCAAATACAGAGGACTGTAAGACATTCTCCTTAAGAGTGATATGAGTCAGTGGGCAGCTGAGATTTCACCTGAGAAATGGAGTAGGAAGAGTAGATGGATAGGGCTTGTCAATAATGGGCTTTAGTAAAGGACACAGTGGAAGACGCTTATAATTTTACCTTCTGGGAGAATGTGGGGTTGGTGAATGCCAGAGTTTGGATAAATAAGATGAGATCGAGGAGTAACAGATGGAATGTAGAGAAAGGGTTTTATTCTAGGAGCATTAGGTGTGGTTTACAGGGGTGGAGAACAATGGACTGGGATGCAGGGTAGGGACAGTATTAGTGGTAGGGAGCACACTACAAAGACTGTAGTGATGGAGTCTACTGTCTAGTTAGCGGAGGAAGCCACAGAGGAGGAGGTTGCTTGGTTTGTGTGTTTGAGGAGTTGGTGAGGGAGGTAGGAAAGGAGATGGGCACAGTCACACCCACGGAGGCAGTGACTATGCAATAAAGGAGACTGAGTAGACAGATGTGGATAAAAAGATGGTGACGTTTACTGCTCACCGTAATGACCCAGGATTGGATCTTCAAGACTGTAGCATGATGCAGTGAAGGGAGTGGGGTTGTGCCAACTGTAAGTTCAAATAGGAGGAAACAGGTCTGCACAGGTGATAGTAGAAGAAAAATGTCATCCATATTCAGATAAGTTAGAATCATCACAGCTATAGTCCATTCCTTCTGTATCAATGTCCAAACAGATCAGACCAAGATAATCAGACCTTATGGGCTGAAACTCTATTGAGAATTCTGAGTTGAGTCAATGAGTTTATTCTATTCAGATGTCTGCTTTTTGAGAATCACCGTTAAGAGACCTGAACAGCTTAAACCAATCCAGAGACTACCAGTA